ACCCAGAACCTCTAGCACTTCTGGCAGATACCATGCCTCGAAACCACACAGACCTCCTAATGCACTTGCTGGACTAATTGGCATGCATCACCATACTGGAACTTCATTCGCTGAAAAGTTTTTCTAAGTTTCACCCCTTCGCTGATCAAAACAGGTCGACCCAGCCTTGAGTGGGTACCAGGTGCAGTCCTGGGAAGTAAAGGTGGCCAGCATGATGCTGACCACATCACCCACCAAGTACCAATTGGTCTATACAAATATAGGTCTAGCCCTATATCCCCAGTTCACCTAAAGGCATGGAAAAGGGACCTTACTGATTACAAACTGGATAACAGAACACTGCTCCTCTGCGGTTGCTCGTATCAAAATTGTGGCGGCCATATTTAAACTGTCATTATGACATCACTGCATCATGATGTCACATGCTTAACAGTCTTGACATCCTTAATAACAATTTTAACTAGATTACAATACAGTGACGTGGTTATTGTAATTTCTAGCCCAATTTTACGATTTGCATTTGAAGTCACTTCCTATAAGTTAATGCAATACTCTATATAGTGTGGAAATCAGACCTAACCATCCGAGATCAAGTGAATAATGATACTATTAGACAAATTGTGGGAACGACACCTTGCACTAGATTCACTGACAAACAGGAGATCAAGTGGTTTGGCTATCACTTTAGAATGCAGCAACATAAAATACTATCACAGACACTACATCTCAGAAGATCAGCTATAAGAGCAAGAGGAAGGCGGTAAAAATATGGATCAACAACTTTAAAGACACTCTACCCCTTTATGGAATGACAATAGCCAGTGACATCCAACATGCACTGGATCGCAAATTATTCCTTCCCACGCCACTTAACGATAGAAGTGGTTTATGATGATGAAGATCAGAGTGGAAAGATAAATTATTTATTAGGTTGGCTTGAACCTTTAGCGACCACTGTTGCCAAAAATAAAAACTTTCATGTTTCCATGCAAAAAGGGCTACTAAAAAAAACATGCACACAAAAATGCCATTTCCATATTGCCACAGATCTTCACATACACAAAATGTTCACTGCTTCACCACTGGATACAATAACTCCAACAAAAGTGATGCAGTTAGCAGAAGGAAAGTGTGAGTAGTTTTAGTTGAATAATTCTCACAAGTTTATATATGTTGAAACAAAGAAGATGAGAAATATTGACATTTTAGAAGATCTGAACATCAAGGAAGATTGGCTAATAAACAGCATCCTTTCTCAGAAGCTGAAATATTTTGGTCATATGAAGCGCCACGACGCATTGGAAAAAATTATAGCAAAAGGCACAGTACCAGGAAGGAGGGGCAGGGGCCGACCGACACAAAGATGGGCACAAGATATAAGTGACTACTTGAGTGTGAAAGTGCATGAGGCGAGAGAACTGGCAAGAGACCGAGTTTCTTTCAGGCAGACTGTGATGAGAGCGAGGTTCTGCAAAGGACCTGCTACATGATGTTGATGATTATATATTTGAATGTCAATAAAATTGCCGTCTAATTATGTAACAATTTTATGATGAAACAAGGACCAGAATGTTCATAAGCATTACAGACAAGCTTGTTGAATGTTGAATTTAGAATCAACATCACAGCACTCGGGACACTCCCATAAGTGCTCAGTCCCCCTCTTCAGCAGCAAATGAAGAGTTCCAATCCTGATGGTACAAGTCAAGCTAGTTACATTTCTAAACAAAAATGATGCAATAGGGCAGAATTATTACTGTTAGCTTGTTGAAAAACTAAGAATTACGAACATGGACAGTACACACATGAACAATTATACACTACAGCAAGATTATCCAAACAAGAATATTTTAATTTTAAACAAATAACACAGAACTGTTATTGTAAAGCTTGGACTGCAGTACTTTATAAAGTCATTGAAAACTTTTATAATGTCTTAGAAATGTCTTTTTGTTGACTCTTTCAGTCCCACACAACACATAGTGTTGAAAGTTGAATTAGGAATCAACATCATATCACTCGGGACACTTCCATAAGCGATATATCCCCCTCTTCAGCAGCAAGTGAAAAGTTCCTATTCCAATGGTACCAGAAACTGTCTGATTGTATATCCATCTCATCCTTCCCCTGAGTGTTGAGCATCAGCCAGACCCCCTGGTAACTCCTCGCAGTGTCATTCTCCTCAGACCGCACTGTTCACCAGTTCCCCAAGGGTCCTCACAATATCTAACTTGTCATACATCAATTTACCACCAAGTGGTTGCAGAGCTGGCTAGTCTATCTGCCTGCTCATTTTAGGAACATCATGTACTGAGGCTTCAATCTCTTCCATGGAGCCACCTTTATACCACTGTCTGAAAGGGATGAGAAGAGTCCTTTTTTTTTAATTGCTGGTCATTAAAAACAAATCTTGTCACCTCAAGGACTGGACTATCTTCATAGCAAAGTGATCAAGCCATCTGCCTTATGCGCTGAAGGTCATGCATTCATTTAACGGTGACGCTGTTCAGTTCACGAGTGTAATTTTTACGGAGAAAGGTTTTTTTTTTTTTTGGTGGAGCAATGCTCTCAGCAAGCAGCTGGCTGTTCTACGGTGAAAGACTGAGCCATATGGGATAATAAAACTCAGTGCAATGAAGTTGATCCTATCACTTTTATTTTACCCTTTCCCCTTTCAATAACCTCAAAGCCACTGAGTTGCAACACAGCCTTTTATTTGTTGTATGTACAAAAAACACATTTGATCTTTGAACCTCTTCTTTGATTTCACAAAATATATTATCACCATCCATGGTCTGTTACATTCACGATTTGAAATAATTATTATCATAAAACTTCACGTTTTATTGAATTATTTTATCAATATAATTTATTTTTAAAGTGATAAATACTGTCATGTTACAGAGACAAATACTGACATTTGGAGAGACAGACTCATCTTTTGTGCAGTTGGTGATGCTGTATTGTGGTTGACAACTAGGCTGCGATATCTGCCCCTTTCAGTCCAGTACTTCTGATTTCTCCATTCCCCTAATTAGTCCCCTTCTATGACTTGCTTGCTAGGGGGCAGTGGGTCTATATTTCCCTCCCATAATGGGCCCTAAAACCTATATGGAGAACAGGTAAACTGACTGTGTATAGAGATAAAGGACCCTTTTCCACACCTTCAGGTGTATTGGGCATATAGGGCTAGACCTTTATAGACCAGTCAGCACTTGATGGGTGATGTGGTCAGCATCCCATCAGCTGCTTTTACTTCCCAGGGCTGCTCTAGTACCTACTCAAAGCTGGGTCAATCTGGAAGGCAAAATCAATTTAAAAAAAAAAATTTAATCTGGCTCCGTCAGGACCCAAACTCACGACCTTTTGATCCGCAGGTGAGCGTCTAGCCACAGTGACTCCCATACTGAGATAAGAGAATATTAGTTAGAAACAGATATATGAAGATGCAGCACAATAAGCTGCAAAGCAAAACAATCAAAGTAAGCTATGAAAAGGTCATCACTCATCATGATATTCACATCACACTCTACAACAGCACGAGGTGTCTATGGATGAGGCGGCCGGTAGATAAAAAAACAAAGCCTTGTATCTCCCGCCTTCAATGCCCGAAATGGTTAAAGAGGAAGTTAAGAAATCATCCATCATTAGCTGACATAGCAATGATAACTACACCATAACATTTGAGCAGATTTTGATAGGCCAAAAATAGAAACTAGTAATTGAAAAGCTAGTGACGAACTATGATGATCAGCCTATTTCATATCACTGCATTATTAACCTGGAGATTTATTTATATATATATATATAAATTTGTCTGCTGACACTATTCTTGACAAATGGCAATCAAAAAATCTTCTGTGGTTTAGGCATTGCAAACATGTTTCATAATTCCATGGTGCCTGGTTCAATTCCAGCTGTGGGCGATTTGGCAGCAGGCATCCTTGCACTGGTTTCAACAGTGGCATCGAGAGCTGAACATTCAGTAAGCAATGGCAAATGACTGAACACAACATTTTCTTAGTGAAATCACACAACCCACCCCCCCCCCCCCCCCCCCCCCCCCCCCCCCCCCCCCCCTCCCAAAAAAATGCTGGAGTTGGTTCTACAATGTCCTATAAAGGACACACAACTAACTTTTATCGTCCCAATTATCTTTTTAAAAATTATTCTTTGACTGACACAGAATGTTTTAGTTTTTCTTCATAAATAAAGAAAAAGTGATGGCTGTCTCTTATAGTGTTTGTGATATAATTTCTTTGTGTATTAGTCTGTTTAAAAGACATTACTATATGTAAATGTCCAAAATCTCTGTGTGCATTCCAGGGTCCCTTTTTGGAAAGGAAACAGAACAGACCCACTGCCATGTTGTAGAAAGTGACTGACTGGGAGTTGTCTGAAATCCGATGTGTTAAGCTGATAGCCACAGATTATTGTAGCCTAACTGTAAATCACAATGAATTATTTACACTTCTGCCAACCATAGATAACTGAGATTTGTGGAAATTACAATGATAAACCAGTTTTGTCCAGAATTATGCAGACAAAAGGACATGCTTTTCACCTTGCGTTTACCCTGGTGAAAAAGACATTTTTTTTATTGTAGTCAATTTTGTGTTTCAGTTCCAGGGATTTCTTTATTTGCTTCATTCTAATCAATTGTTACTGTAGTATGCAGCTGACCAGATACAGAGAAATATGCCAGGCAATAAATTGTGCAATCTATTGTTTGTGTCTTCTTTGTTCAAATACACAACAGGGAACACTGCTTTGATTTTCTCAAGTACAGTCCTTTTTAAGCTGAGCACAGAAAAATAAGGTCTAAAGCAAATTGAGTGCACCAGTCTCTGCTTATATTCTCTCTACCTGTATTCATTATATATATATATTCTCTCAAAATGTCTGTATCTCTCTGGTAACTCAGTTTGTCAGTAATTCTTCTTTCTTTCTCTCAAAATGCCAGCATCTCTTTTGTAACTCAAACCAGCTATCAATTAAATTCACGTCTGAAAGAATCGTCGAACTTTTGGAGTCAGAAGTTTAAAGAATGATGGTGGGAACATTGTGTGGGACACATTTGCATACTTCAAATAAGTGTTGGGTGTGGCTATGACTTCCAGCAGAGCTGTTAGTAGCTGACGATCCTGTGAACAAAAAAAAATTATTTAGTTACATTGTGTGTACATATGAATATTACATAATTTATTAATTTTTTTGGTCTGTAGTTGGTAACACAAAGCATGGGCCGTGATGTAGAGACCACGTGTAAACGATTCAGCCTGCCTTATTTACTTCAAAGGAAAAGTATCACCAACATGTTTGGAACAATTCATTATGCAGAAGTTGCTAGATAAAAAAAAGCAGTGCTCTGTTTGTCCACCTCCTGGAGCTTTCCTCCTAGACCAGTAATTCCCAAACTGTGCACTGCGGTGCACCGGGGAGCCATGACCTCTTCACATGGGCGCCGCAAAATATTTGAAGATATACGAGTTTAATTTTTTTGTTATCTCTTACACATGAATAGTCATAATTTTATTTAGGTTAGGGCGCCGCGGAAAATTGTTATTGAAAAACGGTGCCTCGACTAAGAAATGTTTGGGAAACACTGTCTGAGACCGTCTGCCAGCCAAGGCTAAATGTCTGGTCTGAATTGCATAATATTAGGTTTTCATGTTGCTTTTCCTCTTCCTAGGATAAAGTTTTCAAACAATTATATCTCAGTGTTTGGCAATCAATCACATTCCTAAGCAAGGTGTGATATGTGATTGGCTGTAACAGCTGTGTCTACCACCATGTAATGTGTTCTCTAATAGTCTACATTTGGTCAGAAATTACTAAAGAAACCTGGCTTCTAGTGTATATTTAGACTTTCAGTCCAGCATGGCAGAGAGACAAGGTATTTAGCTATTAAATTACTTTTGCTTCTACAGATAATTTATCAATACATACTGTAAGCAGAAAAGATGAATGCATTTATTTGCTGTGAAGATGTGATAAATTTTTTTAGAAGCAAGAAAGGTTCTTTCCCAATATTCTACCCACAATGATGACACAGGACAGTTCAATATTTTAGAGGGTGGTAAGACCAGGTTTCCTGCTGTCTGGGTTTTGTGTTTCCTGGCTTTCTGTGTGTTCCGCGTTTCTTATAGCGGCAGCGGATCATCTCTCCAGCAGCTTGTGTTTAGCAGCATCAGTGCCTGGCAAGAAGAGCAGCATTGCTTTCCTGCAACATCATGGCATTCTGCATTTAACCAGATCTTGTGGCAACAATCATGCGATCATGTCATCGCTGAGTGAAAGCCACAACCGATGGTGGTGTCGAAAGTCGACCTGTTGTCTGGACATACTGTTATGGCAATGAACATGGCTGAAAGAGTCATGCCTGCCTTACAAATAGATCATTCTGTTTCCGTACTACTGGTCTTACAAGTTAACAAGCATTCAATTTTGCCAAGTAGAGTTGGGCATGTCGAAGAATACAACTGTGGAGTGGAGCAACTACATACGGTAGGTTTGTGCCAATACATTATTTTTTAATCCTGCAGAGATCGGTGGAGAGAATACCAAAGTTGAAACTGATGAAACTCTGTTTACAAAGAAGAAAAATCATGTGGGAAAAGTGTTTTTGCAATAGTGGGTTTTTGGTGGCATCAGTTGCGAAACAGCCGAATGCTTTATGTTCTGTGCTCCAGACAGAAAAGCAGAAAATGCTTCTGTAGATCATCAGACCTGGCACGACAGTAGTCTCTGATTTGTGGTGTGCATACAATGGAACTGAGAACATTCCTGGATTCACGCATCTCACCATCAATCACTCCATCAATTTTGTCGACCCCACCACAGGTGCGCATATGCAATACATTGAGTGCATAAGGAGATCGGCAAAGGAGAGAAAAAAGAGGCAGAATGGGACACACAGGCATTTATTAGAATGTTACATGTGCGAGCTTATGTGGCACAGACACACTTTGGTCGCGACATGTTCGCGACCATTCTGGCAGACATTGTTGCATTCTGGCCACCAGAGCAATTGTCGTCTCTGCCGCTGCTACCTCCTCAACAGCAGGTGCCGCATTCCAACCTCTCTCCAGATTTACTAATGTGTAACATTGTTTAGAATGTCATTTTGTGAACCCAGTAGTATATATCTAGAATGATTGGCCCCTTTTAGGGGCCACCCTCAAAGTACCCTGATTGGCAAGGCATCCTGCCGATTGCACATAAGAGTTTCACATAAAAAATTTGCAAAGCAGCACCAAAAACTGCATGCTCAAAAACAAAGCAAAAACACCTCACACACACACACACACACAAAACCTCCCAAAAACTGCATCCTCCCGACTGCACATAAGTCAACAACACACACAAAAAAAGAATGCACAGTAGAAAACTGCACAGCACACACAACAGAAGAACACAAAAGTGAAAACTGCACAGCAAAAAACTGCACGGCAAATGAACTACCAAATTACTACACTACAGGCTTCATCTGCCACCCCCTGAAATATTACTGTCCCATTACCTGTGAATTTTTCCTGTCTGGGGTAGGGTATTAGGAAAGAACTGAAAATAATATCACTGAGTGATATAAAAACCAATGAGGCAATCTTCCTGAAGTCAATAAAAACTCTAGACTGATTTGACAAATTAGAGGCAGACAGTGTGTTTATCAGACTTGTGATGAGAAAGAATGGACACAAGAGCTTGGTAATGACTGGCAAATGTGATGGGAAAAGAGCAATAGGAAGGCAAAGTTATTAATACCTGGATGGTTTAGTCATATGGATGGGGCGAGACAAGAACACTGTCATGATCTGTGATTATAGTGATCATGTGAGATAATGAAACATGACAGCCTAAGTTTATTAGCATAACACATGATGATGATGATGATGTTGTGTCTTCTCCGTGGTTCTTTTTCTGACTTCTTTGTGTTCACTAGCCAAAAACTCCAATGGCAGAAAGCATGATAAGGACAGGCATGATTTTGTGCAGAGTGGCATGCTTTGCTTCAGAGGTCATGGGTGAAGAGCATTCCAGGGCATGCCGGTGTGTTGGGAAATTGACAGGCAGACCAATTGGCTGACTGCACTTAAAGGTAGAATACTGATGCATGATAAGACAGATGTGGTTAAGGCCTTATGGGAGCACATGTACAATTCAGAACTGCATATTGATCATCACAGTCTGGTGAGAGTGAGGCAGCAAGCAGTGACAAGGGCATCTGGTCGATACTCGACGCTCAGAGGAAAGGCAAGACGGACATATAATCAGACTGCAGCTGGCACCATTGGTATTGGAGTTGGTTGCTGAAGATGGGGACTGAGCACTTATGGGAATGCCTGAATGCTGTAATGTTGGTTCTTGAATCAACTCAACTCAACCCAGGTGACTTTTACGACACAATCTTTAGGAGACAGTGGATTATTCTACCCCCTCCCCCTTCCCCACCCTTCCCCACAATGAGGCCTTTGAACTCACACAGGCCTCTTCTTCATTCAAACATCGTCTTTTTGCTAATACTGAAAATATTAATTGATAAAACACATCCTTATCAGATATAACTTTTAATGCTTACCTTAAATATTTGCTGGTGCTGTTTTGAGCTATAGAGACGACCATCTCGTACTATATCTTCAATTAATGATTCATATTGTTCTGAGAAAGATTCAACCAATTATAAAAATGGAGTGCCTATAAATAAATTACATGCAAAAAAAATTATTATTCATACAGCAGAAACGGTGGTGTAGAGTAATTTCTTAGCAGAGAAATTATTCTTGTTATTTCACCAAAATGGCTATGGGTTGACCCAGCTTCAATAACTGGGGGAAAACTGTCATTCCCCTCCCTTATAAGACCAGCTTTTGGAGTGTTGGACAGTACAATCTGAAGGCTAATTTACAGTTTAAGACACAAGAATCAAGATCAAATTTACATTCTGTATTACAGTACAGTACAGAAACATGGACAGCAACAAACACAAAATAAATGAGAGGGTGAAGCTCCCACACCCCCTTTCAAATTAAGACATAACACAAACATGGGATTTCAGACTGTCGTTGCCATAAAAAAAAGGTAAAGTAAAGATCCCTTTTCACACCTTTAGGCGCATTGGGCATATGGGAAGAACACCAATATTTTTACAAATCAATCAGCACTAGGTGGGTAATGTGGTCAGCGTTACGTCGGCCATCTTTACGTCCCCAGGACATACATCCTGGTATCCATTTTAGGCTGAGTCGACCTGCGATGCCCCATACCCCGATAAAAATCCATGCAGCCAGCAGTGGGTTTTAATCATGGTATATTGGAATTACTAGTCGGACTTGCAGCGCCTAAGCCATGGACGGTGCCCTTAACTAACTGCAATAGTCGTTGCCATCACATTTATTTAGTATGCTTCTTCTTTGACGCTCAGCTTTCAACTTTTCTGCGATAATTTTTTCCCTCTTTATTCCTAGCTCCTTCCTTATTGTCTCCCTTCACGCAACTTTGTCTATGGACTTTTGTTCTCTGGTATCCACCTCAATACCTGTATTATTCATGTGCCACTTGCATAATCTTTTTATTGAAGTAGAGGCCGGACTCAACATCTTCTACCCATGTGTAATTCACTATAGATGGATGTCCTTAGGGATAACTAGCCTTAGGGAAAATAGGTCAGTAGATGCTTTGCTGGACAACAAATTGTCACGTTCAACCATCATTCCCAAAGGGGAGCTTTAGGTTATAACTGTGACTAGGTTAAGCGTGCCATATAAAATGGTTTAGCACTGCATGTGACCAAGAGCACTGAAAAGGACTCCTGCAATGTTGATGTGATCAAAAGAGACAAACTAAACTACTGTCCTGACCAGCAACGAAGTTGTCTACCGGCCAGCCAATGGTTGACCCAGTCACCAATAAGAAAAAACCAGTTACAGTTAACTTCTTTAAATACCTAGAAATTGTCTGGGAAGAAAAGGTGCAAATGGAATTGGCCACCTCACCTCATATCATGTGTGTAGGCTTAACTCATTAGGTTCTAGGTATCAACACATGATGCATTTGTTGGTTTCTTCTGATAGAAATAACTTTTTTGTTTTAAACTTTGTGTATGTCAGGCCATTGTTATAATAACTAATTTCGCTACATTGATATTTAAATTTCCCCATCTCATTGTGTTATATTAACTGTATTGAATCAAACTATTTATCAGTTGAAGTAACAGTATCTTAGGATAGACCAAATTTAAGTAACACACACCCGGGACTTGAAGAGTTAAAACTTCACATCCTAATGGAACAGTGTTTACTTATGAAAATCAGTTACATATCCTTTACAGGATGTTGCAGAACCAACCCTAGCATTTTTTGTTTATGATTTCAATAGACACGTTTATGTTCAGTAGTTTGCCATTGCTTACTGAATGGTCAGCTCTCAATACCACTCAAAACCATTGCAGGGTGATCTGCTACTAAATGGCTGATAGCAAGGATCAAACCCGGCACCCCCAAATTATGAAGCATGTTCACAGAACCTCAACCACAGATGCTGACCTGTTTACCTTTACTGGAGGGGCAACAGATTTAAACAGGAATATAGGGGAAGAATACCAAAAAATGCCATGCAGTCACTGGGGTCTGAGGTTTGAACAACGGATCAACATCATGGCACACGGGTAGTAACCCATAATGGCTCCGTTCTTTTTCTAACTCATCTTAAGTCTGAAGAAGTTAAGCACAGTGCACAGGCTCTGTAGCACCGGCGAGGATCCTGAAATATACTGGGTAGATTTTTAACTAAATTTTGCCTGGGCAGCGCCGTTAGGCTACTCTTTGTGATTTCCAACTGCCAAGGGATATTTTTGTGCGCAACAATGCACACGGGCATCCGATCTCACTACCCAAAGACCAGGGGAATGACTAAAAGTCCACGTCCACATGAAAAAATCCTAGCCCTTACCGGCGATTGAACCTGGAACTTATAGCACTCGAGGTGGGCACCATGCCATGAAGATGCAGCATATACATACTAAAGTCAAGAAGATTTGACCACACTACACCTAGTTATCCCAAATAACTTGGCCTTTCTCCTTTAGCCACATGTCTAGATTGTTTGCACAAAGCATGAACTCTGTAGTTCTAGTGAGAATCCCCAGGGATCTCTGCAAAAACTGCAGCTAGGGACCAAACAAGGTAACGCCAGCTTTTAATGTCAAAATAGCACATGATGATGATGATTCACTTTTATAGCTTTTTATTAATTTTCATCAAGACCAAACTGGCATGCAGAAGAGAGGTACTCACCATCATAAGTGACAAATGGAATTGAAAATCCCCTGGCAGTTTTATTTCCATTAGATACAAATTGTATCCACAACTTTTTGGACCGGGCAGTGAAAGCAATTGGCCGCTCTCGGCTTTCACATGTTTCAAATGTACTTTGGCTTTGGGGAGATTCTGTATAGAAAAAAAGTGCAAGGAGCTTGGATTGTAAACATAGAGTTAAATAAAAAACATTTGCAGCTGACTAATTTTTCATATACAATTATAAAATGCTGAACAAGAAGAAGAATTATAAAATCGTGTGATAGGGTATATTAGTTAGTCAGATAAATTATTTTTTTTTTTTTTAAATATTGCAGTCATCATTACCTGTAAGAAAAATAAGTGATATATTGTTAAAATTAATAAGATTATAACACTTCTATTAGGAAAAAGTTAACTTTTTTTTAATAGTCATGTAAGACTAAAGTCATGTAAGACTAAATTATCAAATATCTTTAAGCTGAGTTGAGTTGAGTCAAGAACTGATATCACAGCACTCTGGGCATTCCCAAGTATGATCCATCCTCATCTTCAACAGCCAGTGCAGAGTTCCAATACTGATGGTAATGGTCGCAATCTGGTTATATGCCTGTCTTGCCTTTACACTGAGTATAGTGAGCTGGCCAGACCTTCCGGTTACACCAAGATGCCTAATTCTCTCCAGGCCATAATAATCTTCTTTCTCTACTGATTCCGTTGCTTGTTCCCAAAGGCTGTTGACCACATCCGCCTTATCATGAATCAATTCACCACCCAGTGGGGCAGATCCAGCCAGTCTGTCTGTTCATTACCCACCATGCCAGTATGACTCTGCTCAAAGCACCCCCGTCTTCACCTTTCTCAGCATGCAGAGTCTGTTACAATTACGACATGTGTATGCTTCTTGTTCTCTAGCCAAGTGTATGAGTGGCTTATAATTAACATATTTTTTGCAACTACAGTTGGGCATGATTTTTGAAAACAGACTATTTTTTATAGTTTGGCATGACTTTTGAAACATACTTTATTTTTTATAGTTGGGCATGATTTTTGAAACAAAAGAGACTATATTTTTTTTATAGTTAAGCATGATTTTTTTAAACAGACTATATTTTTTATAGTTGGGCATGATTTTTGAAACAGACTATATTTTTTATAGTTGGACGTGATTTTTGAAACAGACTATGGTAGTAATGGTGGCAGTTGTAGCAGTAGCAGCAGAAGGAATGATACCAATAATATTCAAACTATTTTCCTCAAATGGAGAAATGTTGTCATTTTATTTTCCAGATACTGGATGCAGACATAAAAATTAACTAAACATAAAGATAGTACTTTACTTACTGGATTTTCTCATGACTACTTTGTCTCCACAGTCTTCTCCATCCCCAAGTTCTATTTTTGGAATAATAATGAGAATTCGTCTTTGCTTCTCTGGGCGGATTTTCCAGACACACTCTATATTGATGGGATAATTTCCAGGATAGTTGGGACTCTCTAAGACACCAAAGAAGTCACCCATGTGCCGTCCACATCGACGATCTTCGAAAGATACAAATATTTTTGTGAAATGTAAGAAAGCCAACTGAAACAGTGTACAGATAATAAATATTTTGGTGAAGTGTAAGAAAGCCAACTGAAACAGTTTACAGATAACAAATATTTTGGTGAAATGTAAGAAGGCCAGCTGAAACAGTGTACAGATAACAAATATTTTGGTGAAATGCAAGAAAGCTAACTGAAACAGTGTACAGATAACAAATATGTTGGTGAAATATAAGAAAGCCAACTGAAACTGTACAGATAATAAATATTTTGGTGAAGTATAAGAAAGCCAACTGAAACAGTTTACAGATAACAAATATGTTCACAAAATATAAGAAAGCTAACTGAAACAGTTTACAGATAACAAATATTTTGGTGAAATGTAAGAAAGCTAACTGAATAGTGTACAGATAACAAATATGTTGGTGAAATATAAGAAAGCCAACTGAAACAGTGTACAGATAACAAATATGTTCACAAAATATAAGAAAGCTAACTGAAACAGTTTACAGATAACAAATATTTTGGTGAAATGTAAGAAAGCTAACTGAATAGTGTACAAATAACAAATATGTTGGTGAAATGTAAGAAAGCCAACTGAAACAGTGTACAGATAACAAATATGTTCATAAAAATAACGAAAGCCAACTAAAACAGTGTACAGATAACAAAAATGTTCACAAAATATAAGAAAGCTAACTGAAACAGTTTATAGATAACAAATATGTTCACAAAATTTAAGAAAGCCAACTGAAACAGTGTACAGATAACAAATATGTTTACAAAATATAAGAAAGCCAACTGAAACAGTGTACAGATAACAAATATGTTCACAAAATATAAGAAAGCTAACTGAAACAGTTTACAGATAACAAATATTTTGGTGAAATGTAAGAAAGCTAACTGAATAGTGTACAAATAACAAATATGTTGGTGAAATGTAAGAAAGCCAACTGAGACAGTGTACAGATAACAAATATGTTCATAAAAATAACGAAAGCCAACTAAAACAGTGTACAGATAACAAAAATGTTCACAAAATATAAGAAAGCTAACTGAAACAGTTTATAGATAACAAATATGTTCACAAAATTTAAGAAAGCCAACTGAAACAGTGTACAGATAACAAATATGTTTACAAAATATAAGAAAGCCAACTGAAACAGTGTACAGATAACAAATATGTTCACAAAATATAAGAAAGCTAACTGAAACAGTTTACAGATAACAAATATTTTGGTGAAATGTAAGAAAGCTAACTGAATAGTGTACAAATAACAAATATGTTGGTGAAATGTAAGAAAGCCAACTGAGACAGTGTACAGATAACAAATATGTTCATAAAAAAACGAAAGCCAACTAAAACAGTGTACAGATAACAAATATGTTTACAAAATATAAGAAAGCCAACTGAAACAGTGTACAGATAACAAATATGTTCACAAAATATAAGAAAGCCAACTGAAACAGTGTACAGATAACAAATATGTTCACAAAATATAAGAAAGCCAACTGAAACAGTGTACATATAACAAATATGTTCACAAAATATAAGAAAGCTAGCTAAAACAGTATAAATGATTACAATATGAGATTGATTCCTGAGGTTATACTAGTATTGGGTGTTTCTCATTAGTTCAGATGTATTGTAAAAAGTAAAGGACACTTTTCACCACACTGATTTATTGGACACATGTTGCTAGACTACTTTTTTTTTTATTTTGTAGACCGGTCAGCACATGGTGGGTGATGTAGTCAACATCATGCTGGCCACCTTCACTTCCCAGGACTTTACCTCATACCCATTTTAGGCTGGGGTGACTTGGGAGCCAAGGTGGTTTTTAAAAAATCTGACTCAGTGCATATTTAGACCCAAAATCTTCAGGCCAGCTGGCAAGTGTCTAGTCACTTTACCACCATGGCTGTGATTAACATGTATTGTCAAGTTGTAAATATCTCTAATCTTCCAACCCCAGTTGGTTCTGTAGCAGATGGTCAAGAGGGGAAAAAGCCACTATGGATGAAAAAAAAACTACAAGTCTGCGACTTTTAAAGAAACTAAATATGCAAATTTTGTTAGTAAGCACCAAACATGTGTAAAAAAAAAAAATACAAGAAAAACATTATGAAATTGTTAGGATTCATGTGAAATAATATTGTGACTGAAAGAGCTGAAGATTAAACTTTTTGTGTGTTTTTGTTTCAATATGATTTGTTACAAGAAATTTGCAACAGTTTTCAGAGTAATGTAAATTTGTCTTTGATTATGATTATGGTGTAAAATAAAAATAGCTGCACTGATAACAAAACCACAAGTGATCAATGAGAGAAGTGTATGTTAACTGAGCCTGTCCTCTTTGTTTCCAGAGAACTTTGAGAGGTCAGTGTTGATTCAGTGGGTGAGTACTTCTTTCTATTTAATGAGACTCCTATTTGATACTGTCGTTGTACCCAAGTATTATATCTTGTTTAAAAATAGATCCTTTGATATTTTTTATATATTTCTGTTATTACCTCAACATCTTCTTTTAGTCTCTGTTATCTCTGTGTTGGTTCCAGGGCCCCATACTGGGACTGGGGGGAGGGGGGGGGGGATAGACCTCTGCCTCCTTAGCAAGCATGTTGCACAAGGCGACTAATTAGAAGTTTCCTTCAAAGTCAGGGTGCATCTGCCTGAGAGCAAGGAACCAACAGTCTGCATACAAATATACCAGATATATACAGTTGAACCTCGCTTACAAGCATAATTCGTTCCAGAATTATACTCGTTGAGCGAAACGCTCATTATGCGAAACAATTTCTCATTTAAATTTATGTAAAATACGATAATGTGTTCCATGTCGAAAAAATGCTCACAAAACACTATGTATAACGTTTATTCAAAGAAAATTATATACATATTGTTAAGGAGAGTGAATCTTCTTCATCTTTTCTTCAAACGCGGAAAGAACCTATGAATGCGAATTCACTTTGCAGAAGAAGAAAAAAAGTTGAAATAATTATGATACACAGCAAATAATTTTTTTTACTAGAAAGATGTCCAGAGACATTTGTTTTTGATGACGCTTCAAAATTTGGCAATAATGCGACACAGCATTATCATTAAATAAATTTTCAGCGTGCATAGCCACTTCCTTATAAGGGTGATTCTTCTCAATGTAAGATGCAACAGTTTCCCATGCTTTCAGCATTTCTCTTATTTCATCAGAAGATTGTTGCTTTTCTGTTACCTCCTCCTCTGATAAACTTTTCTCCAAAACGTCTTGCTGTGAAACACAATGCAACTCCATAAGCTCTTCGATGGTCAGCTCTTAGCTGTGCTCTTTCACAAGCTCTTCAATATCACTGTTATCCACCTCCAATCCTATGTTAGTGACCAAAGACACAATCTTGTTGACTACAGGTTCCACAGGTACTGTCTCGAACCCCTCAAAGTCACAAATCGACAACACTCTCCCGCCAAAGCTTCTTCCAAGCAGAAGTTAGGGTTCTCTTGGTAACCCCTTCACCCGCCTTGTCAATCATCTTGAGGCAGGCAAAACCCTTTGAGAATGAGGTTGGTCCCTTCAGTCACCTAAAAACAATGCTCGAAGATAGCTTTAGTGTAGAGCTTCTCAAAGTTAGAAATAACTTGCTGGTCCATGGGCTGGAGTAACAGAGTGGTGTCGGGAGGCAGAAACTGAATCTTGATGAACTTAAATTCTTCAGGGAGGACATCTTGTAGGCCTGGAGGATTCATGTACATACATCACAATATAACACAAGTTTGAGAAAATGTGTGATCACAAGCGACACTACGATGCTACTGGAACGATTGCTTAACACAGACTGATGTAACATGTGCACAATCCGGGACTTCCCCTCTCATCATCACTTGTTATGCGAAACGTCACTCGTTAAGCAAGTCATTCTTTTACACTTTGTTTTGCTCATTATGCGAATTACTCATTATGACAGGTGCTCGTTAAGCGAGGTTCTACTGTAAAAGGAATGTGCAGGCAAAACTCAAGTTCTGGAACAAGATCAAAGTCCAGAAATGAAAGAACAACCAGAACTTTCCACCAGTGTTTACAGCTGGTGATGGTTTAGAAAAAGAAGAAGAAGAGGAGGCCCTGTTATGTGTCTCTGTTAATCGTGGATGTCCACAGCATTCGGGCTCATGTACTGTCAATCCTTTTCAGTACAGATTTCTTCCATACCATTAAGTCACACTTTCCAACATCTTCTCTCTTAGTCTCTCACTGCCTCTCTTCCTCTCCAACTTTCCTTTTGTCACAATACATTTCAGCTTTTCCCTTCTCTAGACATGTTAAAAGAATATATAATACTGAAAACAAAACAAAACAAAAAAGAAATGCATAGCTTCTGAAAGAATATAATTTTTTCATAATTTTGACATTCACAATAATTAATGAGTAAAATTTAAAATTTAACATAAGAATACCTTATGATTCAACCAATCAATTCACAGCTCTTTCACATCTGGGTTATTAATATTTTTTTGCATACAGGCTTTCCCATCAACTAATAAAACACACTATCAGACAGATCATTTGTCTTAACAACAAAGCACTGTTTCATACCTTTGCAATCATCTGGAGAGATGGAACCCACGAAATCTGTGGAGGTTTTTCCTGGACATGGAAAGCAGTAATCTTGTCCAGTACTGGGCTGATAAAATCCTTTGCCACACTGTGAGCACGTATGAGTACTGATGTTATAATAATGACCAGATTCACACAGTTCTGTGGATAGATGAAAACTTATCTGAATTAATATGTGGTATGTGGGGAATTTGAGAGCCGATGTGGTGTAGGGGCTGAAATCTGCCTGCGGATCTGGAGGTCATGGGTTCAAAGCTGCACAGAGCTGAATATATATATATATTTCAAACCATGACCTTAGATCACAGGTTGACCCAGCATTAAATGGGTATCAGGTAAACCCCTGGGAAGTAAAGGCGACCAGTGTGATGCTGACCACATCATACACACACTTTCTTGTTGGGAATTTCTTCTGTGATGTTTCGGACTCTATAATTGAAGGGAAATGCCTTAGGACTAAACGAAGTGACAGATCTGCACTTTTTTTTCCTTCTACACTTTTTCTCTTTTCCTTGCAATATTTCTGTAGAATTTCTCTTACTAACATTAAGTAAAATTGGGCAACAGGAGTGTTTTTCCACACAAATGAACAGTATACCAACCATGCTTCACAAAGCAACAGGATAACGTGTAACACATCTAAATGCATGTGACATGATGTTTAATAAATTATTACTTCTGTGATCTGTTGCCGAAAGAGCTAAGAGCTTAAATTTAGAATTTACATTTAAAATTATAATTAATAAAAAAAAAATATGGCATGTAAGAATTGAACGCAGGACCCTTCAATTGCAAGGCAGACGTGATACCAACTACGCTAGAAATTTATATGAAAATTGGTACCGAAAATAGGACCAGTATTGTACACTTTGATAACAGACACAGTTTTGTCAGTTGTATAGTATATTAGAAACATTAGTATTAATTATCATGTCAGTACGTGACCAGATCTTCATTTTGATTATTGGGGATTCATTTCAAATCCAGTCAATGTAGATAGCTGGGTCATATGGTCAGTCTTGCTCACGGCTAGAAGTACACGTGTCCGAGGGCGTGCCGCGAAGATAGCCCAGCTCATATAACTCTACACGTTTCAAAGTTATCACTACTATTACTCCTCAAAAGAAACTCCATTAATTCTTCATTAACCATAATTAACCAATTTTCTTGTTATTTTATATATTTTTTTTAAAGTAGATCAAAGCAAAACCAGAAATATATTTTAGGGCAAAAAAATATACCGTTCACCGACCATGCTTCTATGGTAACAAAGCAACAGGATAATGTGAAATGCATCTAAATACACCTAAACGAACATGATATGTGATTTCATTGTATGTAAATGTGTCACTTTGATCAGTTTTAGGTAATGTATTTTGCCATTTCACCCCCAAGAATTATAGTTCTTAGCAATCTGTAAAAAAAAGTCGAAGACGAGTTAGCTCGTCCTTAGCAGCGAAAGGGTTAAATCTGTTAACTTACTTCTGGACACACAGTCTTTAAATCTGTTAACTTACTTCTGGACACACAGTCTTTAAAGCTGTTAACTTATTTCTGGACACACAGTCTTTAAATCTGTTAACTGACTTCTGGACACACAGTCTTCAAATCTGTTAACTGACTTCTGGACACACAGTCTTTAAATCTTTTAACTTACTTCTGGACACACAGTCTTTAAATCTGTTAACTTACTTCTGGACACACAGTCTTTAAATCTGTTAACTTACTTCTGGACACACAGTCTTTAAATCTGTTAACTGACTTCTGGACACACAGTCTTTAAATCTGTTAACTGACTTCTGGACACACAGTCTTTAAATCTGTTAACTTACTTCTGGACACACAGTCTTTAAATCTGTTAACTTACTTCTGGACACACAGTCTTTAAATCTGTTAACTTACTTCTGGACACACAGTCTTTAAATCTGTTAACTTACTTCTGGACACATAGTCTTTAAATCTGTTAACTTACTTCTGGACACGCAGTCTTTAAATCTGTTAACTTACTTATGGACACACAGTCTTTAAATCTGTTAACTTACTTCTGGACACAGTATTTAAATCTGTTAACTTACTTCTGGACACACAGTCTTTAAATCTGTTAACTTACTTCTGGACACACAGTCTTTAAATCCAGTGCTGCCTGTACTCTTTGTTTTCATATTTGAACCACAGGATAAACAGAATGTGCGACCAAAATATGGCTGGAATGTTCCCACCTGGCATGCCATGCACGGTTTGAAGCCAGATGCTGAGAAGGTTCCCTGTTCACATAGCTCTACAGATAAATTAAAAAAAAAAAATAATGCAGAATTTGAAAAAAAAACAAAAAACATTTAGTTTAGAAGAGAGGACTTACTTTATTTACCATTTTATCCCATATGACTTTTTCTCTCTACAAAAATGGCAAGTCTTTGGCTAAGAGCATCGCATTAAGCACAAAATGAGTTGCTTCATTAGCAGTTGCAAAAACAGTTTAATTGACAGAATAACTCAGCCTAAAATAGTTATCACGTAATGTCCTGGGAAATAAAGGCTGCTGATATGATGGTGACTATATCATCAGACAGTTACTGGTAACATCGGAACTGGAACTCTTCACTTGTGGCTGAAGATGGGGATGGAGCGCTTAAGGGAGTGTCCCAAGTGCTATGATGTCAATTCTTTATTCAACATTTAACACAGAAAGCCGAATGCTCTTTAAAACTATTAGCATACTACTATAGGACCAAAGCATGAAAAGTGTGAAAAGGTCCTTGAATTTTGACGCCATAACCTTTCAGTTACTCATCCATCTGTATGTACATTTATCCCTCATTTATCTGATTCTTCATCTTCGTGTTTTGATGGCTGATAACTCTCACAGAATGTTCTGCTTGTTTATCTACTCTGGACTTCTGGAGTCATTCAAGACTTGAGTGTTGCATCTACATCACTTGTACAGACCTGGCCCGCTTGAATTCAGACTGGTGGTTCCCTCCCTTCTCAGGCAGACGCACTCTAGGAAACACCGTAAATAGTCACCTTTCTCAACATGCTTGTTGGGCGGCAGTAGGTATTCCCTCCCCCCCCCCCCCCCCCCCATCCCAAATTGAGCCCCAGAACCCACACATGGATTATCACCTTTTCAGGACAGAAGTGTCTGTGGTTGTAAGTCTCACCTTGTCTGAATGTTTAGTTTGTTTCATGTCTTCATCTCACACAAATTTCATGTGTTTCTAGATGAGTATGAGGTGATGCTTTCATTACTGATGGAAAATGAGCATGGAAAAGGCAAAAGAGATAAACACCTGGATAGCTTGGCCATATGGATGTGGGTAAAACAAGAACAGTGACATGATCTATGATTCTTATGGCCACTTAAACCACGATACACAGAAGGTTAGGAAGTTACAAATTTTCCAATACTCTCAGTATTTTTCTTTCTACTCTTAGTTCCTTTTAAACAAAGTGATTAGTGATTAGACTGGATTATCATCACAGCACTCTGGACAGATCCATAGGTCCTCTGATCTCCTCCCCAAAAGCCCCACAAGTGTAAAACGACTGATGACGCCTGTTCTGTTTTAGTTAATGAAACGTCTTGTCCCCTTAGTGAAATATTCATTTCTTGCTGCTCTAGGCTGCACCCTCATGTCCTTTTAAACAAAGATATTTTTGAAGTATAATCATTCAAAGTGTAGGCACCATGGTCCCTTCTAGGGGAAATATACATAATATACACAATAGATTGTAGGCACCATGGTCCCTTCTAGGGGAAATATACATAATATACACAATAGATTGCACAATTTATTGCCTGACATATTTCGCTGTATTTCATCAGGTGCATACTACAGTAATAATAGATTAAAATGAAGCAAATGAATGAAACCTTCAAACTGAATCACAAAATTGACTACATTCACACATTGTCTGTTTCACATGAAAAATGTGGGAAATACTGTACCAGAACAATGAGACAGCATGGTTGCCCCTTCCACTCCTGATCCAGGAAGTCTGTTTGGACAATCTTTACACAAGAGTTGTCCTTCCATGTCCTGGTATGTTCCACGAGGACACAGCTGACATTTTCTAGTCTCCTTATTGTAAAAAGTTCCAAACGTGCAGCCAACTATAATAGCGAAAGTAATATTATCAAATCCCTCATATAGTTAACTCATTCACTGGGTAAATATTTAATAATCCGAGAATCGTTTGCTTTCAGTTAACTCTCACAAACAGAAAAAAAAGGAAAAAAAAGACTGCTGGAGCACACAATATTGTGGAGAGAAAAAAGATAAAGAGCAATGGTAATATTTATAATCAAGCAAGCATTTACAGATCTATCAGTGCAGATATTAATAGAAATAAAAAGTTGAGTTGAGTTGAGTTGAGTCTCAACCACTGACATCCAAAACTCTGGACATTCCCATAAGCACGCTATCCCAATTTATATCAGCTATTAGTTCCAACTACCATAGTATGTCTTTCTTCTGCCTCTCAACACAGAGACATTGGTGTAGATAAATCACCTAAGCGGGACTCGTCATGAATCTTTGTTAAACTTCTCATTCTGCAACACTAGCTGGCCAGTCCCTGCACTCACGACCCAGTGTGATTAAAACCCTACATAAGTTGGATTTTTGCTCAGACATTTTGACCCTCTCAAATATTTTCAAGCATGAATGCATGTTTGATTGTGTCTTCTGCCTGCCCCAGCTGGATCTGCAGCACTAGCTGGTGAATTGATACATGACAAGGCAGATTTGATCAAGGCCCTTTGGGAACAAGCAACAGAATCAGTAGAGAACAAGATTATTATGGCCTGGAGAAAATGAGGCACCTGGGTGTAACCAGAGGGTCTGGCCAGCTCACTACACTCACAGGAAAGGCAAGACGGACATATAACCAGATTGTGACCAGTACCATCAGTATTGGAACTGTCCTGGCTGCTGAAGATGAGGATGGAACTGACATGGGAATGCCCCAAGTGCTGTGATGTCAATTCTTGACTCAACTTAACTCTGCCTGCACCATCCAAGACCTTGCTGGGGTTTTTTGTGTGGTCAGTCTGTGACACCTAGGTCTGTCTAGAGCTTCATGTAAGAGGTGTTTCTTGTCTGCAGCAGCTACCTTGAGGTATGACCTCAATTGTATCACTTAATGCCTATCTGTTATAGTAAGCAATGCAAGCATGTATGTATACATTCTATTGGGACACTCTACCATGTGGAGGCTATTGTTGCAAAGTACCAAAGCAGTCTGAATGCACTCAAGATGATGGCAGCAATCTGTATGGAACAAAGAATGCCTTAACAATGTTCCACCGCTGCATCCTCTCAGTGATAGATTATAAGATAAAAATTACTCTTTGCTGATGTCCAAGGCCTTGATTGCAGATACAACCATGAATTTACAACATCTCACATCCATGAATGAAGAATTAAGTCAAATAATATGAGAACCAACATCCAAAAGATAGAAGTAATATCATTAGGAAGGAAGCAGCAGAATTTAAATATAGCATATCTGATTCAAATACAATAAAATGAAACACAAGAATTAAATATGAGGCATACATTTAGCTCAGAATGGAACTATGAGGTATATATTTTACTTAATCTAGACTTCTTGAATCTCAACTACTAAAGCAACTCTAAATAGGACTGGATATATCTGAAATGATTTTTAGTGCACTGAATACTTACAGTGCAGATTAGAAGGAGTAAAATGATAAATTACGCTAAATGAGACATGATTACCCACATTCTTCAGTCAAACTGTGAGAAGAAGAAGAGAGTACACCATGTCAGTGGGAAAACTGGATGGTAGAACCAAAACAAAATATACTAGATGGTTTGGTGTCAAGGCATTGGGGTTATCTGGACCAGACAATTGAAAGTACACACAATTAAAGCCTGTGAACAGACTTGACTACCAATGCCCAACAGCATGAACTGTTTCAACAAGTAGACAAAAATCACTAATGTAGATGTGTATCATATTCAGACTAAGGACAGGGCACAACAGACTTTGTCAACACATAATGTTCACACTTTTCGGTGTAGGAAACACGGAGACATGTCTCTGTAACTTGGCACCTGAAAATGCTGAGCATGTGCTCCAACACTGTCAACTGTATGCTGACAACAGAGACCCAATCTGGCCTGTTCTGACGACAATGAAGACAAAACTGAATGTTACACGAGAAGATAGGGACTGCTTGATAGCTTTCATAAAGGCTACAGGCCACTTGACATAAGTTTTCTGACAGAAGGATCGAAGAAGAAAAAGAAGCCTAATGTAGACTAATAAAAAAACTAGGTACATTCCTGTGAATCAAGAGCCTTTAATACTGGGCAGAATAAACATAAAGTATGACCAACATGCAGTTAAAATTACTTACTAAAAAGGGTTTCCTTTAGAAACAGCACTGCAAAATAAATATACCAAGACCCAAGCTATACTGAGGGGAAGGGAAAGAAAGGTTTAATTCATTCCGCCCAAAACTCACCATGCATTTGTGGAGCTCTCTTACATAATATGCTACTCTACTTTCTGTCCCCTAACCAGTAATTATGTCAACTTACTCTACCTCAAGAGTACTTTATATCCTTCTTTCTCACATTGTTATTATTTTATCTGCTTCAGACTCAAACATCTCTTATTTAAAATAATAAATTCTAAGGCTACAATGTGATTAAGTAGCAGACTGGAACTTAAAGAGTTGAAAGGCAACAGAAGAGAAGAAAATATACATACTGCAACTGTTGTTAAAAAGTTGAATGCCATCTTTACACAGCTAGAGAAGAAGATATACAAACTGCAACTGCAACTGTTGTTAGAAAGTTGCATGCCATCTTTACACAGCTAGAGAAGAAGATATACATACTGCAACTGTTGTTAAAAAGTTGCATGCCATCTTTACACAGCTCTTTGATATTCTTATCTGGCATAAAACTCCTCCTGACAGGCTTGAATTCTTTGTTTTCAAATCTGTAGTGACAAGAAAAAACAAGAACAGAAAGCAGTTCTGTATGAAATGTTACGTAATAACTACACAGATTATACGAGAAAGAAATAGTGAACGTACATTTGTTGGCATTCCCACGATGCTAGCTTTACTTTATCACTGGCTCAAGAAGAGGGTCTCAGTGGCAAAGTGATCAAGCCATTTGCCTCATGCCCAGAAGGCCGTGCGTTCATTTCACGTCTGCATCGTTCAGTTCAGGAATGCAATTTTTATGGAGATCTCTGGGGATCGTTGCCAGAGCTACAGAGTTCAAGCTTTGTGTGATGCTCTTGGCAAGCAGCTAGCCGCTCTCCTAAGATAGACCAATCCATATGGGATAGAACCAGGTGCATGAAGTCAATCTTCTCAACTTTAACCTTTGGGGGGGGGGGGGGCGCTCAAGGTGACAACTGAAAACTGAAGAAATGATACTATCAGACACACTGTGGAAACATTGGCATACAGAAGATGAAAAAATCAGGGCATCTTGTCAGAATACAACCTCACCGTTTACAAACACGGGTAGAAAAGTGAGTTCAAAGTAAAAGGCCTTTTAACCTTAGTGGCACACTGGGCATATAGTGGCACATTGGGCATATAGTGGCACATTGGGCATATAGTGGCACATTGGGCATATAGTGGCACACTGGGCATATAGTGGCACACTGGGCATATAGTGGCACATTGGGCATATGAGGCTACTCACATTTTTTTAGACCAATCAGCCCTCAATGGGTGATGTCAAAATCATGCTGGCTGCCTTTACTTTCCAGGATTTTACCTGTTACCCATTTTAGACTGGACTGACCTGGGAGCTAAGGTAGTACTTGGGGAGAAAGAAAACATACTCAGTGAAGATTTGAACACAAATAAATATCATCATCATCATCATCATGTAGCAGGTCCTTTATAGAATGTCACTCTCATAACGGTATGCATGAAAGAAACACCTCATGTACTTTCATACTCAAGGAGTCACTTATATCCTGTGCCCATCTTCGTGTTGGAGAAATAAATATGCTACATCTAAAATCTGACCAAACAGCAAATGGGTGCCATATAAGGACATGGACTGATGGCATTAAAAGATACTGTATATTCGCAATGAATGTCTATAAAAGTGAAAGTTTACAATTATGAACAGATCAAGAGGCAAGAGCATACACCACTGCATTGGAACAGTGCTTATGAAACTACATGCAGAAAAATAAAACATTGGAACATCAAGATAATATATAAACTGAATTTCATTTAACCTATTTGCCCTGCAAGAATAATTTTTTTTGAAAACGTTTTTTTTTTTTTAAGTGTCTGTAAGTAAGTAAGTAAATTTTACTCTACCAGAACATCACACAGAGCGATAAACACCCGGTTACACAAAGTGCCACCGTGCTGATGAGGATCCCACGTGGAGAGGTCCCGGAAACCCCCTTCAGCCATTAGGCCACATTTAGCCTGGCTATATTTAGGGCCCCTGGCAAAAGCCAGGGTGATGCTTCAAAAAAATTAAAAATTGCATTCTACATGGATAATTCTTAAAACTGTACCCTAAGAAACTAGAAGAATAGAAGCAGAAGAAATTTATAGTTAGTTTTTATGAATATCCAGATGGTTGAAATCCTAGACACCAAGCAGACAGGCGGGCGTGAGGTTCTCTGCCTTTTTGACTTTACAAATATACAGAAAATCTCTCCGGTCAATGTCTATATCAGTAAAAAAAAAAAAAAAAACTTTTCTATATAAAGGGAAGTAATCACTAAATGTCTATATCAGTAAAAGGTTTTTGCCTACATGAAGGGAAGTATTCACTAAATGTCTATATCAGTAAAACGTTGTTTTTTTCTACATGAAGGAAAATAATCACTAAATATCTATATTAGTAAAAGGGTTTTTTCTGCATGAAGGGAAATAATCACTACATGTCTGAATTAGTAAGTTTTTTTTTACATGAAAGGAAGCAATTTCTAAATGTCTATATCAGTAAAAGTTTGTTTTTTTCATGAAGGGAAGTAATAACTATAAATGTCTATATCAGTAAAAGGTTCTTTTCTACATGAAGGGAAGTAATCACTTTAAATGTCTATATCAGTAACAGTTTGTATTTTTACATGAAGGGAAGCAATCACTAAATACAAATGGAGCAAAGAATTACCCAATTTATTTCTCTTCGACCATCTAAAAGTGGTTTTTGGTTACTGTTCCACAAAAGCAATATGATGCACTTATGAAATTATATGACATCACAGCGATGTCACAATTTAACCCCCAAAAAATGTTTTGCTAACGCAAATGATATCTATAAAAGACATCTGGTGGTAAAATATAATCATCCACCATTTCTAGACACTACCCAGTTGCAACCAGCATCAAAGTTATTATACAGACATAGCAACCACTTCCCAAATAGACCATGCCATCAAAAAAATCTGACAAGCCTAGATCTTAGAATTTACAGGGTGACAGGTTTAAATGCTTAGTCTCATGATGCCATTGGCCATTTTCTTTACAATCTTCTGTCACCTGACTATTTTAATTATGTTGTTTATCTTATTATTTACTTTCCACCTGTTTTAAGTTTTCCACTTACTAGAAAAGAGGGACCAAGAAGTAAGAAGATAAATTTCACCTAATGTTCCCTTTTTTAATTTTTTTTTTTATTCAAACTGTTCTGTTGAATCACCAATCATTATCATTGGCTTGACGAGTGGTATAATGATGCCTGCATACGGGGGATAGACCAATATTTAATGGACCAGTCAGCACTCTGGGTGATGTGGCCAACATTACACCATCTGCATTTATGTCCTAGGGTTTTACCTTGTACCTATTTGAGGCTGGGTTGACGTGGGAGCCAGTCTTTTTTTTTTGAAAAAATATCCAGTTCCATTAAGATTTAAGCCCCCAATGTTCTGATCTGCAGGCAAGCTTATAGCCACTACACCATGGTGGCTCCCTTTATTAAAAGGAGGACACTTTTGACACCGTTGTGTACTGGGCCTGCGATGAAGGACTCACAGACTTATACACCAATGGACACTCCGCAGATGATTTGGTTAACATCTCACCAGTTGCCTTTAATTTGCATGACATTACCTGGTACCAATTTTAGGCTGGGCTGACCCTGGAGCGAAGGTCTATTTTGAAAATAACCTATCTTTTTGGGAGGGGATTCAAATACAAGACCTTCGAGCCAGCAGTGGAACATCAAACTATTGTTACCACAGTTTTTGCAACTGCATTTGACCAGGCTGATGTTCTCAGTGCTCTCAAGGAGGTGGAATAAGTAAATAATTCAGGAGACAATGCCGAGTTTCACAAGACTACAGCACTGTCGAGGATGCTGAATTACTTTAGGTAGATTTTTAACTCCAAATTTTGTCTGGGCAGGGCATTAGGCTACTCTTTTCGACTTCCAACTGCCAAGGGATTTTTATGTGAGCAACAATGCACATGGGTGTCCGATCTTACTATCCTGAGACCAGGGGCAATTACTAGAAATCTAAGTCCACATGAAACAATTCCAGCCCTTACTGGGGATTGAACCTGGAACCTCTAGCACTTGAGGCGGACACCATGCCTTGCGGACACGATGCCTCAAGACGACACAGCCCTCTAAGCTGGTGTTATCTACAGGTGTTACCCCTAAAGAATCCATCCAGGGTAGCTGCTCGCTGGCTGGTCAGCCCTCAACTGGAACTAATAGCCAACCTTTTCTAATACAAGAAATTTAAAATGACAAAAAAATTCATTCCAAAGTGAAAAACTACATAATTTTTGTCTTACTGCTTAATTTGTTAACCTAGATTATTTTCATTGATTTTTTTCACATAAAGCATACACAACTTATGTAAAATGATAAAGGTTTTCTTTTAAATACCTTACAATGTATTTTTGGCGTCTCACAGCTCTTTTAAATTTCTTAAATGCTCTATTAAACCTCTGCAAGTTCCGCTTTGCTGTACAATCAACATCACATTTACCTGCAAGAGATAAAAGAAACATTACAGTAGGAAATGAAAATGAAGGTGAAGAATGTCATAAATAAGCAAAAAACTGCAAATGTAAGTGAGGAACAACATATGTAAGTGAAGAAAGCACATGTAATTGATGAACAAAAATCCTATTGTTATTGGCATATTGAACACACATGCTGGTTGTATAAAATAATTTATATCCTATTTAATACTGAAATACATAAAACTACAAAACAATTAGTTAAAATAAATGAAAATTTAAAGCAATGAAATAAAATAGATGAAAATTCAACCTCACTTTGCCTTCCTGAGAAGAGATAAGTGCCTGTTAATATGCTACTGAGAAGGGAGGAAGAGGAGATGTTGCTTGAAGCAGCATGGATTTGGTTCAGGTCTGACTTTTACTAAAAATCTGACCAAAGAAATTTGCTTCTAGTCTCTACTCAGGATGTTTAAGAAAGATGAAACTGTCTTTGATCATTTCAGACAATGTTATTATGGCTTGTTTTGTGTTGGGGGAAACTTCTTTGTAAAGTCATTGACATCTATCCATGGCTTTACTCCCAAGACTTAATCGAAGACAACATGCGGTGTCATGACTAATTCTGATTCATGCAAGTTTGTATCCAAAGAAAGGTCATGTACTGAGCAAAAGTTTTTTGCATCTATACAGGATGTATACCAAATAAAACGTACACCAAAGTGTATACTGAGATTATACTGAGGTATCACTGTATCTAAGTAAAGAATAGCATATCTAAGAGAAGAAAAACATAATGTAAGTCACACGTAGGTTAGCTGCGTATCCTTTACAGGACTTTGCAGAACCAACCCCAACAGCCCCTGGCTGTTGTGTGGTTTTTGTAGGCAAATTTACGTCCAGTAGTTTGCCACTGCTTTCTTGACTGTCAGCTTTCTTGATACCACTGTCGAAACCAACGCAAGGTGCATGGCCCATAGATGGGATCGAACCTGGCATCCCGACATTACGAAGCGTTCGCATCGACTTAGCCACAGAGCCGACAAGTCACACACACAACTTACAAATATAGACAAAGCTGTCAATGTAATTATAATACCAAAGAATATCAAGTTAGCATCTACTAAATGCACCAGGGTTCTGAGGCCTTATTCAGGGGACGAAAAAAAAAAAGATAGAATACCTGCCTTTTAACAAGCATATTTAAATAAAGGATTTACTGATACTGGATTTACAAATTAAAAGGTGACTTATTAGGGAATTTCTGATACTGGATGTAAGAAATAAAAGGTGACTAATTAAGGAATTACTGATACTGGATGTAAGAAATAAAAAGTTACTAATTAAGAAATTACTTATACTGGATGTAAGATATAAAAGGTGACTAATTAAGGAATTACTGATACTGGATGTAAGATATAAAAGGTGACTAATTAAGGAATTACTGATACTGTATGTTAGAAATAAAAAGTTACTAATTAAGAAATTACTGATACTGGATGTAAGATATAAAAGGTGACTAATTAAGGAATTACTGATACTGGATGTAAGATATAAAAGGTGACTAATTAAGGAATTACTGATACTGGATGTAAGAAATAAAAGGTGACTAATTAAGGAATTACTGATACTGGATGTAAGAAATAAAAGGTGACTAATTAAGGAATTACTGATACTGGATGTAAGATATAAAAGGTGACTAATTAAGGAATTACTGATACTGGATGTAAGAAATAAAAGGTGACTAATTAAGGAATTACTGATCCTGGATGTAAGAAATAAAAAGTTACTAATTAAGAAATTACTGATACTGGATGTAAGAAATAAAAGGTGACTAATTAGGGAAATACTGATACTGGATGTAAGAAATAAAAGGTGCAGATATCACAGCCTAGTTATAAACCACAACACAATGTGGCTCCCTCTCTCCCCATTCCTTTTTTCTATGGGTAAAGAAGAAATAGAAGCACCTGCTTATTACAGAGGCTAATAGAGAAGGATAGAAAAGTAACAGTACAGGCATGTCATAAACATCAACTAAGTTGTGTGGCAAAGTGTTTAAAGCATTTACATTGCATCCAGACATTCCATTCAGTCTATGGATGTGTCATTCAGTTTCAGGGAGATCCCTGGGGTCTGGTAAAAAGCTACAGAGTTTGTGATTGGGTGGCAGTCTCAGCAGGGCATTTCTGCACAGAGACTGCAATGAAGTAAATCCTATTGACTTTAACTTCAACTTTATTTACTAAGATAGTTGGCCAGCTGATTGGTCAAACATTCTGTGAAAGCTGGAGAGATGTGATTTTGCAGATGAATGATGAGAACACTCTAGATTGATAAAGTGTAAAGAAAATGTCTTTGGCAAAACAAAATAATGTTACAAAGAGACCTGATTACACACATCAAAAGGAGACAATGTAAATTCATTGGCCATGCATAAAAAGGGGAAAGCCTGAGTGTTTTATGACAATAGGATAGCTGGAGGGAGGCACAGAGAGACCAAAAGACAAGATAATGGACAGTTTAGAATGGAGGATATGTGTGAGAAATGATTAATTGATGGTGGCGATGAAGATAATAAAGGAGGAAGTTAGGAGGAAAAGAGGAAGAAGAATAAGAAAAAGGAGGAGGACGAGGAGAAGATAATCATCAAACCATATTATCCCGGCAAACTAAAAAAAGTACTTTCCATTTTTTTTTATTTTTTTTTATTTCCTGAAAAGAAATTGTTGGAGGAGAAAACATTTTTCACCTGTCCTCCCCCATTCCCCTTCCTTTTTTTTTTTTAAATTTACTATAACACAGTAAGGCTGGTAATTAGTAAAAAGAATGCACATAGAATCAACTGGTTTTTATCTTTTAGGCCTGAAAACTAATGATAGAATGACACCTACTCAAATTTGTGACCTACTCAGCCAGTAATCAATGCTTTAAGGCATGTTTGGATTATAGGGCTAGACCTATATTTTTTTATACCAATCAGCACTTGGTGGGTGATGTGTCCAGCATCACGCCGGCCGCCTTTACTTTCCAGGACTGCACCTGGTACCCACTCAAAGCTGGGTTGACCTGGGAGTCAAGGTAATTTTTTAAAATAAAAAAAGTCCATTAGGACATGAACCCATGACTTTCTGATCCGCAGGAGGGCATCTAACTGCCAATGCCATGGCGGCTCCTTAGTAATCGCTGTAGCCAAAAAAAAAAATATGAAGTGGGAATTCCTTTTTTTTTAAAGGAAACCCCACAAATGCTATTTTTAGTAAATTTAGTCATCCCCTGTCCCTTTGAACTTTGCAATGAACTCTGTAAGTTAAAAGACTCTATAGTGAGTCGGGAAAGCGGCTCTTAAGGTGGATTGGTACTAACCAGAATTATCAGGCGAAAGTGTTTGGCACTGATGGTACATAAAAAAAAATTACAGTAGAGTGTCAGAATATGTCTGCCTACACAGCAGGTAATGAGTACTTCATCATCATCAGGTGCCTTGCCAACTGGCGTGGGCGACCATGCCTCTCCAAAATCTGCGATCTCCTGCAGCATGTATCAGTTTGTGTGCTGACACACCTCCATGCCAAGCAACAAGACTTGAGAATCTTCTCTCGTTGTCTTCCTCTATCCCTTCTTTCACAGATCTTTCCAGTGGTCACAACATGTTCCATTTTCCCTCTTCTCATAACATGGCCAAAAAATTTATGACTGTCTCCTTCTCACGTCTGCAATAAGTTTTCTTCGGGTTTCCACCTCTTTCAAAACCTCTTGGTTGCTCTTTTTGGCTGTCCAATGTATTTAAGTATTCTTCTGTAAAACCACATTTCTGGGGCCTCAAGAAATTGTTTGGCCTGCCTACTGATTGTCCAGGACTCACAGCCAAATGTTAAAACTGAATGTATGTAGCAATTTACAAATTACAATGGATGCCAAGTAGTCACCAAAAATAATTATTCACGAACTACGAACATTTCCTAATTTATCATTAAAATTAAAGCAAACTTTGGTTTTTCATTACCTGAATGACGATTAGAGTTCATCTGCAGCTCAAATTCTGCTGTAATCAAAGCCTGCTTGCTGCGGTGCACCAGTTTCCATAGCTTTCTTTTTCTTGATCCACATGTTAAATTCAAAAAATTAATTTGGCACCTATTTTTGCACTTGTATCTTTTTTCGTCTGGAGAAAAAATGATGGTACAAATTTAAAGTTACTTGTCAAACAAGATTTCAGAATATAACAATAAACTTTCAAGATTATACATAGCAAACCCTATTCTTAGGTTCCGGATTCTAAAATTTGGGGGGTGGATGGTGGGGGTACACCCCGTAAAACGTCTGCAGTAAAAGTCAACTAATATGGGGTGAATCTTTATCGTCAGAGTGCCTATGTCTGAGAGACAAGGAGTCTGCATATAAATAAGCCAGATATCTAAATTGGATGTGCATGCAAAACTCAAATTCCGTAAAAAGACCATCGTCCATAAGTGGACGTACATACAGAACTTTTCTGCCAGAGTTTACAGCTAGTGATTATGAAGAAGAAGAAGAATTTCTTCTTTTGTTCTTCGTCCCCCCACTCCTCTAGAACTTAGAGCCAAAGCCAAACTACTGCAGGGGGAAGAGAATTTTGTTTTGCCGGGGGTGAAGCGCTGAAGACGTGACTGTTGGTGAATATGAAACTGGGATGTTTTGGGTATTTGGACATTCCTTGCCCACCCCCCAGAAACAAGCCACTCACCAGGAATGTAGAAATACAAAAACACACCAGTTGCACAAGTAGTACAATGTTCAAATAATCACACAATTGAGCGGAGACAACATGAGAAAAGAGAGAACAATTAAACTGTAAAAAAAAAGGAATACATGACACCCTCACAACATAGGACAGGCTGTGGGAACAGCCATGGCATGAATGGGAGGGGAAGCAACTCTCGCACTCGGGCGACATGCAGGCAGATTCACTATAGGTACCAATTTTTGTTTTGTATACTGGTGACATATTAGGTTACAATAATGTAGATGATGGAAGACTGCCTGA